TTTTAACAAAATTAATTTTGATAGTTGAATATAATTAAAATTTAAAACGAGTGTTTAATTTAATTTTTGCAGCAAATTTTATATTAAAATATTTGTTTTGTAGATTACCACATTATTACGTGGACGCTACGTTTCCTAGTTTATAACTAATAAAATTGCTTTGCCAGTTTTGGTAAACTGGATCACTTGTGAGATATTAATCGCAGATTGGGACTGAATAGATTTCTACATTTAAAAATAATAATTAATTTAATTATTTGTATAATATTATACTATCAATTTAACTCAAACAATAGATGAATTTAATATAATTTTAATAGTTTTAAAGCATAAATTCATTTAAACAGATAACAAATAAATCTTTTCAAAATACATTAAATATAAATATAAACTAACTCATTTAAATATATTGAATATAATAAGTTCAAACAGATTTATTAAACCATACATTGTTTTAAAATCTGAATGTACATTCAAATTAACCATAAATTTAATTGTTCGTACGTTAATATATATTAAAATCCAGAAAAAAAAAAGAACTAAAGATGACTTGAAATTAATTTAGTAGAAAAATTCTTAAAAAGAAGTAAATAAGTTACCTAAGACTCTCACTATTTAAAACAATTAATCCAACAAATTTTTTTTTCAATTTGATTAAACAAATATAATTTTACCTAAGACTCTCACTATTTAAAAGTCATATGGAATCCTAACCAATCTAAGTAAATAAGTCGAATAGATCCATTTCTTTTAATACCTGTTTTTTTTGTTTATTTATTGGATTAAAATTTAATATCTTACTTAAAATAATTAAACTCTTTGCCACTTTACTTGAGCTAACAATTAGCTTTGATAAATTAATATAAGTAAAATATAAATCAATATATTGATTAAAGAGTATAACAGTGTACTTCTTCTGTAATTTTTAATGTAGTTCTTGAACACCTATGAACTACTCACTTGTAAACCATCCTTGTATTCTTATTTCCAGATAAGAACCGGAGGCATCTAAAGGTATCCATGTGAGAAAACCATACAGATGCATCAGTTGCATAAGATATGGAAACACTGAACCTACGAAGTGCCTAATGAGAGGTTCGGTATGATAGAAATAAGTAGCAGAAGGCAAAACCAAAAGGTTCTTTTTTACTGTTTGATACATAAATGCTGATTGAACAGAACCAACATCCCTCTCCCTCTGCCCCATAATCCATAAATGCCCCAATTAAAAGCTACAGATTTGTCTCCTCTAAGCTTTATCACGATTCCTGTACCTCCTTAAATTAATATTCCAACTTCCTCAGTTGATGAGTTGTTGAAAATTTAATGCAGCTTTTCAATGTTACCACTACCAGCCATGTTTCTTGCTCTCTCATATGGCTCTATACCTTCTTTAATTTACTTTAGTGTATCTCTCTTCACTATTTTGCCCATTAACACATCTACCCAATATATGTTGACCCCCCATCTCATGTTTCTTCTCCATTATTCATAGATCACTTTCACTTCCTTCCCCACTCTCTTGTACTCATTCAAATCAATGGTTATATATATGAATGGTTACATTCACACACCTAACATGAAGGGCCCTTTTATTTTTATTTTTTGTTATATTGATTAACAATTTCAAATTTTTTTCATGGATACTATGTTGGTTATGTATGTCTATGATTATCTTATTTACACCAGATGGGGTGCATAGCGATGAAGGAAAGAGTGGACCGGTTTAACGGGATATTGGTTCGGTTCAATGAGAAAGCAATGCTCAAAATGTTTTGAGCATTGCTTTTCGATTGAGCCGTGCCAATATCACGTGCCACTGCTCCTAAAACCCCTCGAAGAAGCTTTGTCAAAGGTTTTGAGGTATAGAGTTCTTTTGTTTTCTTTTTTATTTATAAGAAGCTTTGTAGGTTGTCCTTTTCTTTTTACACTTGTTTTCTTTACGTCGCATTTTTCTCTTTCTGCATGTATTAGAAACGAAATAGTATGTTCCATTTTTCATTCAATTATGTATTTTGAGTTATGATGAATCAGGGTCCTACAAAGAATCTGAAGGGATAGAAATAAAGGGTATGGAAGATTGATCATTGGAACATGTATACATGTATTATGCATGTTCTGTATCATGCATCCATGCTTTCCATAGCTATTGAAGTTTGATGTAGACTGTGTAATAATAGAACACGCCTTATGCAGTTATTTAAGCATTGTTTCTCTCTTCCTCACTCTTCTTTCATTTTCTTTTTTCTTTTTCTTCTTATGATGAATTAATTCCCCTCTGTTTCTTTGAATACTCAGGTTTGATTTTACGTACCAAAAATTTGGTTCTTGCTTTCTTAAAGTATGATACGAACTTATTAATTAACATAAAACAAATTGAAGTAAGGATACTTCAAAATTATAATCAAGTTTGAATGTCGGTAGCAAACGGCTAAAAAAACTCAACCGTTTTCAAGGATATGGGGTTATTTTCGTACTCTCCTTTTTTTAAAGTACCTTCTGAGTTGAAAAGCAGAAAAAAAAAAACTCATTTACCGCAATAAATATTTTAGAGTATTAAAATTTCATATTTAACCAGAAAAGTGTTAATATATTATTTATTTATTTAAATATTTTATTTAATAAATACTTTAAATATTTAAAATTAATTCAGAAACATTAATAACAACAATGATAGCATTTCTCTTTTATATTTTCTCTGTGTTTGTTTTATTATACAAAAAATTAGGCAAATTAAATATAATTTACCATATATAAAATTCATATATAATGTAAACCGAATATAATGGAGGCTGGCTTTAAAGTTTTATTTTTATTTTTTTTTGGGTCGTGAGTTGGCTTTAAGTTTTAAAATCCCATATTAGCTAAAGAAGGCCCTCTCAAGAATGAAGCCCAAACTTACTGCAAGATTTTTTATTTTTTATTTAAAAAAAGTACTACTAATTTTAACAATAGGTGCATGAGAAAGTGTCTTGATAACATTCTTCTTGTACTTATTCTAGTGTTAATTTGGGAAACTGCTTTTCCTGTTAGTCTGGAGGAACAGAACACAAAAATTGGGATAAGATCTGTATTGTATTTTTTTCTTGATTTTAGTTTCAAATGAATGAGGAACAACTATTCAAAACAAATTGTTAGTTAGGTGTGGAAGTAATAATTGAAAGAAAACTTTATGGTCACTTCAATATTTTACCTTCATTTTGACCAATTGCCAAACACTTTGTGCCTAATGAAAGAACAACTATTATATGTCATTAACTTCACCTGAAATTACTTCATTTGGCAGTTGACTTCACTGAGTTTCCTCAGTCTGCAGAGCTGAAGCAACTTAAATGTTAGCCAAATAAATTGTTACCATTTGCCTCGTCTCTTTTTTTCTTTCTCGCAAACACCATCCTTATAAATTGTAGATGAGTAGTACCCATCTCTACCCAACTTCATTTTGTTTTTTCAAAACACTTAAGTGAATCTTTTCATAATTATATGCATCATTACTTTACTTGTTCTTTAATTTCAGTCAACAAATTTATCCCTCAAATATTAAAAACCATCACAATATTAATATTTTAAATATTTTGTCACCAAATTAATATTCTAAGAACTAAAGTGTTATTAAATTTGTTCCTCCAAAATTTAAAAATCACCACATTAACCTATCTGGAGAACTGAAGTGGTGAAATAAATCATTTTTAAAGATCTAATATAGGAACAAATCAATTTTAAAAAAATGTAAAACGTTACTGTAGTATTTATTATGGAGGATTAAAATAATGATAAAAATAATTTTTAAAAGGCTAATTTAATGATCAAATATTTTTTAAAAAAAATAATATAGTGACTCATTATTTTAAAGAATCGATTTTAAAAAAATCTTATATTTTCTTCAACAAATCTAGTGGTGTCCCTTCTGGCTAGTCTGGGTCATTTTAGTTGGGCCTGTGCATGTTTTTTGTAAAGCATGTGCTAATTTTCCCCTTCTAATCTTCTTTCTGAAACATTGCTTAAGAGTTAGTGGGACAAAAAGCTCAAGTTGTTGAGGAATCTTGTAGCAGCATTATTTAGTAGTAGTAATTAATATTAAGTTCTGCACATGTGTTCTACTTCTCACTGCAGCGAAGCAGTACCATAACAATCAATGCAAACAGCAATTTACTCACTTCTATATTTATTTTCCCTTTACCTTATTCCTACATGTTTCCGAGAAGGAAAATGATAGTTGCAACTTCAACATTTCTTGTACTCCTTCCAGCCATTGTATTTTCTTTTTTCTTTTTCTTTTTCCTGATCTACGCTGGTTTTAATTTGATTAATTAATACTCCACCATTATTTCCTAGAGTTCTTATATTTTTACACACAATAAATAACTGAGAAATGGAAAGAAAAATAATAACAACTCAGTCTTATTTCATTTACGATCACGTATCATCATTGACTTTGATAAAAAATTAAAATTTTAAAATTATTATTAATTAAAATTTTTTAAAGGGAAATAAAAATAATTATAAAAAATAAGTATAAAAAATATAACTATTATAGTTCTTGTACCATGGCTAGGGTAGTTGATCGAGTAGATAGCTAATCCCTAAACTTACAATTTGCGCACTTTGGACTTTTCTAAATTGTTGACTAAAAACAAAAATTAAATTAAATTCGGTCCAATTTAGGTACCTAACTCCATCTCATATTATTTTATTGGTTTTAAATCATTAGTTTGCAATTTTTCAACACCATAAGAATCTCAAAAAGTCTTAAGTGACTTATAAAACATGCACCACCGCAGAAAATGGTACGGTCAATTTAGGAAACGCTGACTTCCCCCATGAGAATTTAAAGACTTTAACTGGCAATGGACAAATTGAAGCTTGGAACATTTTTAGCTTTTCCCTTTTTACATTGGTTTGGGAATAGGGATCAATTAATTTATTAATTTTGGGTAGCTGCATATTGCTCCAGTAGAATTGGTATTTGACAAAAATTAACAATTGGCTTCTGATGTTAGATCACTGCATTTGGAGTTCATTAGATATTTAATTAATAGAACAATTAAAAAATGTGTTCAGTGACCTACAATTTGTAGGCTGAAGCTATCATGAATTATTTTCTCTTATGGAATTACATTACATAATCTATACCGTGCCATATGAAGAAATGACTTAAGAGTAATATAGGCTTTGCCAAACAGAAAACTAAGATTTAAATGAAAGGAAAGGCAATAACATCTAACCAAATCTACATCTATATTTATTAGAAGCTTGATAGGCAGGGAACTATTAACATATAGATTGGGCCTTCAAGCATAAAAGAATGTGTGGGAAGGACTATCCCATGCTTCCAATTCTGGGAGCCACCATGGTCAATCTCCTTCATTAGAAGGAAGAAGGGCCAGCAGGACAAGTCCTTTTTTCTTTTTTCTTCTTCTTCCTTTCTCTTTCCTTGCTCATGTAAAATTAAACTTATCTATACTTCTCAAAATTATGGAAAAAAAGAAAAAGAAAAACTTGAAGCCTAATTTCATCGATGTGGTTATTTCCTCCTGAGTTAGGAAGAAGTCCAAGCTGCCACTTAGAAAGAGGCATTCCACAAAGCTTTCTCACCTTCTCCACATCTCTTGTGTACCTCTTTGATCCTCTCAGCAGATCTACAAATTCCACTGCATGTCCAGTCAAATGAAGCAACACAAACATTGCCTGCTTGTGCTTTCCATTCACAATCTGCAAGAGTGACCAATTCAAGAATTTGAAATTGTTTACCATTGATAATAACAATAATACCCAAATAAATAATTGATTTATAACATAAATGGTTCACATATATATGTGAATATCATCTATAAATACAGGTAATATCTTCACCTGGTGGTGTACCACAACATAGTCTCCTATCATCTATGTGGTCCACATCAAGTCCGATAAACCAAGACCCTAGTGAGACATCTTCATTAGCATACTTGTGAAGAACGTGCCTGAGACAAACTCATACCATAAGCCATCATAGGGAACACAATATTAGCATCATCAAATAGTCCATAAGTGAGATGAAGAAGTACTCACTGGTTTGTTGAAATATATGTGGCTAGATCTTTGGAAATGGCATACAACTGTCCCGTGGCATGACGAAAGTACTTGTTTCCAGCCTCTCCAAATTTCCAGTATTCTGGTTCATGGTACCTTACCCCTCTGCAAGAAAGTGAACAAGTAAGAAGCTAGAAGTGTAAATGTTACAAATTTAGAACCCTTCCATTGAACAGAACAAGGATGAAAGAAATGATTCTCACTTTTGAGACAGAACAGGCCCAGATTTCATACACCCAATGTATACACGTCGTTTTGATCGGTGTCTAACTAGAGTTTGTCCCAGTGTAGCTGGAAATAGATTGAATAGGATATGAAGACTAATATTACAACAAAAATGACACTATGCATAATCAGCATGGAAATTGGAAACTCATAAACCCATCTCTGGCATTAGGTAAAGATCTAAGATGTCTGTGAATGAGGATTTATATAGTTAGCATGTAGATTATTAGAGATTGAGATATTTGGATACCTATATTTACATGAACATCGTCATCAACTTTGATATAGAAGTCAGCAACCCACAAGTTAACAGCAGTGGCAAAGTAGGTCTTTGTCTTTGCCGACAATTCAAGGTACCCTTCAACATGATCCTGCAGAATCAAAGCATTAAGATTGAAAACATGTTGCATATTTTTCCCTTTTAAATTAATGTGATCATGTTATCTAGTTAAGTAATTATTCAAGTCGTGACAAAATGAGAGAAGAAAGTATTACCAGTCTCAGGAAATCTCCGTGCTTCTTATCTTCTGCTTCAATAGCTCTGTCTAGAATACCCCCAGATGTGGCACTGAGGAGAGGAGGGAAAAACACAAAAAAGTTCAATCTACTATTCACCTGATATAAATATCCGCAGCAAATAGTGTACTATGCTTATTGGATTCATAAAGACAATTAAATGATCTAATGTAAGCATTGCCAACTGAGATTAAAATCAACAATTTTTCTAAGATGTATGATTAAGCACATAATTAGAAATTAATCAATAGTATAATTTTATTAAAAAATATAATATTTAATATTATCGGGTAACTTTTAATGCATTGAATGTTGTTTACTACATATATTTTTTTATTATATGCCCTTGAATACCCGGTAGAAAATTAAAATCAAAACAAAATAGTGTGGGCACGGCAACCATGCAATAAAATAGTAGCAAAATATTAGATAGCTTACCTATGACCAATTACAAAGCGGATAATGATGCCCTTCTCTTCCTCTAGCTTCTTTCTTTTCTCCCCTATTTTCCAAGTTACCACAAGAACCATCGTCATAAACCCCCACCAATATAAAAAAATCATAACCAAAAATAACTAGGAAGCAAGGATCAAATTATGAACCTTGTGGCATCCATGTCTCACGAACTGAGTCTCTTCTTTTTCTGCTGCTGAAAGCAGTATTAATTCCTACAACCATTAGGTACCTTCTCCTACCAGACGATTCATTCATCTTGATATCTTCAGGCACAGGAGCCCCACTTCTTATAGACTCTTGAGCTGCCTTTGCAGCAGCCAATTCCATCTCCAAGTTTGAAATGGTCTTGTCCAAGGTTCTACATTCAAAACAATTACACATATTTAGCATTAAAAACAACTAAAATTTTAAAATAAAACAACAATAGCACAATGGTATATAAATATGTCTATAACTTACTGTATAGCATTTTGTGACTTGAAAACTTCCCTATAGATGCCCTTAGTGTCACGCTTCACTTCCTTCTCTTGCAACTAAAGGAGATCAGAACACAAATATAAGAATTTCATCATGTGACATGATTATGAAATATCGAATTCCAAGTATACTGTTTTTCATAACAACCACGTGATTATTAAGATTAATCAACCACGGAAAAAATGTGACAGTGCTTACAATTCTCGAATTACAACCCTCTGAAACTACATTCAATTTTTCAGCTTCCATGGCTGTTGTCCGTGCTAGTCCTTTAGGTTCAGGCATAATCCACATTCTGTTACAAATTTAAAATTCTCATAAGTAAAACAACACTATAACTGTGTCACAAGTTACCATGTCAATCAAGTACCACAGTAGGTACACAAACATGCTACATGATACCCAAATCAGAATCTGAGAATAATTAAATATGTCAAGTTGTTAGAGAAACTATGAACGTTGAATTATATTTCTTTAGTTACAACGCTTTCATTGTGCCATCCTGTGTTTGGTATGATAAGCGAGGACAAAAATATATGCAAATAAAAAAATTGAGGACCCCCAAATACGTTGGACCATCACTATTTATTAACAATGCAGATCCCAAAATAAAAGAACCATATTTCAACGTTTCAACAACTAGTAAATATAAAAGTAAGTGCTTCAGTTGCAACTACCATAGGATAGACTAAGAGTGCCAATCAATTATTACATGTCAGAGCTCTTCTTCACCATTGATTAGTTAGAATGGTACTATAAGGTATGATAAGCGCAGTAACTAAGATAAAACAGTATTTATTTTTTTAACCTTTAAAAACATTCAAATAAACTTGCTGATGGATTTGTAAACATCAACGATGAAAATTGAACCAGGAATTAATTGTTCACAAAATCGACTTGACATTAGAAGTCAACTTAAAACGAAAATTGAAATGGTTAGGATCATTCAAGCTTATCCAATTCAGATCCATTCCACTTCTTCTTTGAGTTTTGATGAACATAAGATTGGAACATGTTCACAATGAATTAAGAACTTGAAAACTAGCTGAATTTGTACGTGTATTATAAAGATCTGAAACATGAAATATAATAAGAATGGTATAAACAGAATCTAGAAAGCTCTGAAGCAACTATCAATCAGAAATAGGAGAACAATAGGGGACAGGGGAAAAACAGAGAACTCGTGTTCATGTACCTGTTGGTGAAAACCATCCCAGCACAGAAGCTTCCGATACACAGGAAAATCACCCATTTCTGTGACATGACGCTTCTAGGAAGCAACTCTCCCCTGCTTTTCCAAGTCATTGTTTTATGTATTTTTCAAACCAATCTTCCAAGTTGGCACTCTCAGCAAGTAAAAACCATGAAAATAAAATATGAACCAAATTGAAGAAACTGAGGAACAGAGTGAAGGGTCAAAAAAAGAAGCAAATATGAAATCGGGGTCCTTTGAAAAGAAGAAGATTTGGGGTAGGTGGATGAACAGAGAGGTGTAGACAGAGAAAGAATCAGAACAGAGTGGTACTCTGTTTTTCTTTTTTTCTTCTTTCAGTTCTAGTCTGTTCCTTTCTTTATCCTCTGCCACGCTATGCTTTGCTTTGTGCTCTCTCTCTCTCTCTCTCTCTGGTATGTATTTGTGTCTTTGCAGGTAAGGGAAGTTGAACAATACAAGTGAGAAGACTTCCTAACCGCCCAGTTTTATAATACCATATTACCAAACCGTCCCTGTCGGGACCATCCTTAATTTAATGATACTTCAGTAACTGTTTCTTCCCATGACATCAATGCCCTCCATCCCAATCTCTATCTCTCTTCTTCACACCCCATTAATGAACCATCTTCCTTTCACAAATATGCCTCCTCTCATGTTCTCAAATCAAAGACCAAATTTCAATCAACACACCTTATAGTATTGCTTTCTGATTAAAAACATATTTTTTTTATTAATATAATTATGTTAAGACTTTTCTATGATGTGATATTACCATATTCTTCATTATCTTTTGAAAAACCAAACATATTCTAGATCTTTAAATGATAAGAAGTGGATACAAATAAAAATTTAGTCCATATTTGATTTAATTTAGTCTAAAGTGATAATATTTTTACCAATTTTTTTGTAAAGTGTATTTTAAAAGTAAATAATTATTTTTCTCAAAAAATAAAACCTAAACACATACACTTATTCCCTACTCCAGTGCAGAATATGTGCCTTGGAAACCATCCCTTTTACACGCGTTGATGTTCTTCCATGCAATTGATCTTATGCTGAATCCAGTGGACACAATTGCTACTACAACTTGATGTGTGCCCAATTACAACTTCTATGTTAAGTATAATTTAGCAGAAAGAAACCAGTGAGCTTTCTATTTGCACTTAGCGTTAATCACTTATATATTGTGAATTATTTTAATGTCGGAATATATTGCACCAAGTTTTCAAGAAAGTAACCATGCAAACACTTAAAAAGGTTTTGTGATTTTTATTTTATTTTTTCGTTTTGCTTTGAGCACATAATGTGGGCTTGGTATCCTTGACAAAGACATATGCATATTATCCATGATTTTTTTTTTCATTTTTTGAATATTTAGGATAAAAAGTTGATATGCTTAAAGAATAAAGAGCCGAAGAGATGATGGACAGTGACCCAGCCAGAAAGGTTCCCCAAGTTGCATGAGCATGAATCTGGTTTCTTTAAAAGTTTAAAAAAATTATACTTTTCAATTATATTTAAAGATTTAAAATTAATTTTACTCAATTTTAAAATAAATGAACACTTATTAACTTGGGCACATTTTTTCAGTACTGAAATAAATTGAGGTAACAAAAAATTATATACAATGTATTAAAAACGAGAGGGTTATACAAAACACATTAGTGCTTGGTAATAAAATAAAATAATTGGGATTACAAAGTGAGTCTACGCGCACAGTTGGCTTAGTCCTTCTATGTGTCTCATCTGCACCTCATTAATTGCTCAGAAACATAAACGAATCTTATCTACGACAATTATTAATGTATTAAAACTTGGTTATATACTGATTGTTCTGCTTAGGTTATATATATATAACACATTAAAGTATATATTATTTTGTTTCTCTGTCGCCAGGTCTTCATGCATACCAAACCCGGATCAAAGACGTACTATTTCCAAGCTTACTGAACGAAGGTAAGAACTTCATTCGTTCCCTGATACTTTGCTTTGTTCGTTACTATCATAGAGAATTTTTTAAGAACAAAAATTGTTGTTTGACAAATAGTGATAATTTCCTTATGAAGTGGGAAGGAATATTTCCTTTTCAAAATCTGAACTAGTTTATTCATTAATTTTTCATGTTCTGTGATTTGAAGTAGGTTTAGTGTTATGCTATAAATGTTTTAATCATTTAAACGTAAGGTTTTAATAATAATAAATTGTAATTCTTTATAATTTAAAAATTATTTGCTATAAACACTGGTAAAATCAATTACCTAGATTCATCTTCTTAGTTTCTATTTGTTGCTGCAAATACAAATCACATATATGTTTATGAAACGCAGATAAAACCACTTTTTAAAAAAGATAAAACACAAAAACATAACATACCAGAAAGTTGACAACGCCAGATGTTATTCCCAAAATTTAGAAGCACGCAGTAACATTGTAGATGTAACTCTTCTAGTGTAAGAAATATATTTTGAAGAATTCAAAATCCTTTTCTTTTTGTGAAAAATCAAATTACATAATTCTGAATTATTTTTTTTAGTTATTTAATGATATCTGATATGACTGTCTAGTTTAAAATTCAAGTTTTGGAGATTTGGTTTTCTCATAAGATTGATTGAAATGAGAACCAAAAATAGTTGTCGATATATTTCAAAATGGAAATCATATTTCCTGACCTGCCAAATTGTTGGACATTAAAAATGACAAATCATCTTTAATTTTTATATACATATATAATATATAAATATATATTTTAATGTATTAATTTATATTTTTATACTTTTAAATATACTAACTAATGTCTTACTGATCAAAAAGTTGAAATAAAAATTATTAAAAATCTCATTAAAATATATTAAAAATATATTTCAGAAAAAAATATTTTGAGTCTTTTAACCAGAACCTTGCAAAAAGATGGGAATAATCAAAGATGGGCAATCGAGGGGAAGGGGGAAGGGGGAAGGGGGAAGGGGGAAGATGCTCCAATATAATAAACTTAGAGGAAACACAACTTATCAAAGTAGAGAGAAGAGTGATCGATGTCTATCTATCTTTATTTTTAAAAAATAAACTAAAAGTTCCAAACTATGCTGAGATATTATTACTTTTCTATTAGCGTCAGATTTTCTGAATTCTGAGCGTTTCGGAACTAGTAGCAATATTGTCCTGCATTAAAGTTAACGAGATTTTGTTATTATTCGAAAGTTTTAACCTCAGTTTAGGTTGAATTTAATAATAATTTATTAAAGAATATTTTTATAATTTAATATAATAATTGTTTTACATTATGCAAAAATATTATATGCATTTTAGTAAATTTTTAAAATTAAATATTATATAATATTGATATTTTATGTTATTGCCTGATTGTAGAGACAGATAATAAATATATTAATCTTAATTTTTAATATTAAACTAAATAATTAATAAAAAAAAGAATTAACTGAATAGTCGGTCAAGAACACGTGATTGAGATCTAGAACCAAGCAACGTGGCGCACTTCAGTTGGATGGGACCCTTACAACGACATTAGTCACGTGACGTATTGCGGTTCCGACTCACGTGGGTACTGTAAAAGCGGAATCAGGTGGGCAACATCACGAGAATGACTGACACGTGTCGTTATTAGGTGAGAGCTAAATCTGACGTTTCCTTAGCCAATGAAAAGGAGACATCCCTTGACAAAGTCACAAAGGCGGAAACATCTTCGCCTTGTCCGTGGAGGTCATTTTCGTCATTTAATCTAAACAAAAAGTGTGTGCACTTGCATTACTCCTCAAGCATTGGGACAATTAATTGCCTTTGAGATTATAAAAAAAAAAAAAAGAAACCGCCTTCCAATACTTTTTTTTTATTAAAAAATTACCAAAATATGATAATTTTAGAAAATTTACAAATGTATGAGAAAATTTTAAATTTATCAATAAAAATTTTATATTTTTAAATATTTAATATTATTTTATAATTTATCATCAACAATTTTATTTTTTAATATTTTTTAAAAATTATATTTTACTTCTTTTTATTTTATCTTTAAATTTTTATACTTACACTAATTTATATTTTAAATTTTTTTCAAAACTACTATATTTCAGTATATATTATTTTTAAATAATATATATAAAAAAATAATTCATTATTTTAATATTGTAAATATTTTATTTATTATACTTAAATTTTTTTATAAATTAAAAATACTAATAAAATATAATAATTAATATTATTTTAATTTTTATATAAATAGATAAATGATAATGAAGATTAATTAATTTTTCTTTTAAAAATATTAGTATATTAATTTTTAGAGTTGATTTTAAACCATCTTTATTTAAAAAATTGGAATCAAACGCTTAACGAAAGTAGGTGTTAAGAATTTTTATTTTTCATTTTTTATATAACATGTTTGTGATTTCAAAGATTATATGATGCTTGAATATTACTCAATTAAGATTCCGCGTGTCTCATCTTCGCAGAGAGGTTCGCGAAAAAAATATGAGTGTAGACATTTGCGAACTATTAGATGTTATAAAAATAAATATATACCACATATCTTTACTTTAAGATTTTCACACACACATAATATATATATTATTAATACATGACTTATGTCACGATTCATAATTTTTTAAAGAAATAATATAGAGTTCGTTTGTCATTTTAAAATGTGTTTGTAAATATTAATAAAAATTGCATGAAAATTTTTATCACTCATTTTTAAAATTTATTTTAACAATTTTTTTAATACAGTATATTAAACTATCAGTTTATGTATTAAAAATATTTAATTAAATTATTATATAAACGCACACCCTTAAATAAAAATAATTTGCTTTAGGGAATATCTTAGTGATATATTAATATAAATAATCTTTACTGTTCATTTTAAACCTTTAAGATTGTTTGTTTATGATATTAAATAGGCAATTCTCACATGGAATGTAATCAATTTAACAAGGATAACATTTTAAGAAATGTACTATGATTAAAAATATTATTTTTTAGTAGATTAAAAAAAATATTTGGTTATAACTCATTATTTATAAAAACGTTTTTAAAAAATGGAAATGATAGCTAGAAAAGTTTAAAATAGAAATTGAGTTATTGAAATTGAAATCTACAAGTTAAGTTTATATGATATTTTTTATTTTTTTTATAAAAATAGAAACTTAAATATATTTTATTTTTTATATTTTTAATCTTTTATTTTAGTTTCTTTCATATTTTTAATGATTTTTGTTTTTTTTTTTTAATTCAGCACTTTTGACTCTCCACAACTCTTAAATGATTACCTGACTACTAAAAAATCATCATGTATTAATTTTGTAATTTAATCACGTCAATTTTGATCCTTGATTTTTTTTTTTAATTTGACATTTTAATTCTTGATAACTCTTGAATAATTATATGACTTACTAAAGTTGTTACTATTTTTTTTAATTATGAAATCACGTTAGTTAAATG